CATTAGCTTTCGTTCACTATTTTGCATATAATCTCCAAGATAACGATTCAATAGTTCCTTGCTCAATTCCTCATAAATTGCCTTCACTGCATTGAAAACAATATTAGACATTGATGATTTGCGGTTTGTACTTGTAGGAAGAAGGTGTATTCATGGCTTGTGCTCACCGGGCAATGCGAGGCGCTTCGGAAAATTTACTTTCTCGACCACTTGATTTGGAATTTCGCTTCCGAATTTTTTTTCTCGTATTCTTAAGGATTCAAATTTTTAATTAAAGCAATAAAAAAAATTTCGATTTTTTTGAAATTTCAGGAGTGGGGTTTCCCCCAAGTTAAGTTTACATTCCCACGTCTCCGCGGCACCGTTTATATTTAACAATAAGTCTGCATTTCCATGTTTTCACAACGGTCTAGATATAAAATTGCGTATACAAACATCGAATGTGACCGCTCATTTGTGTATTTTACCTCAAGAGTCGTGAATAAATTTATTTTATTTGTTGAGCAAAAAATGATTATTGTTGCAAGTCTCAAGTATTCATCTCTCTTGAAACCAGTGCATGACCCGTGGCATTGGAAAGATAGTTTATTACAATCAACAAGCTAATAATTTACGAGATATTTTATACTTTATTTTGGAATATTTTAACATAAAGTATCTCGAAAACAATTCAGTTTTTGGTAACTATAATTTTTTGATAAACATAAATCAATTGGTGTAAAGAAGATATTGTGATGTCGCACAGCTCCAGTATTCCAAAGGGGGAGATGGGACAACACTCAGGAGACACAATGCTCAATGATATGATACTAGCTTTTTAATAAATACTTGCACAGAACTTTTCGTGTTTTGTTTTTTCTACGACTGTCTCAGACTTTGACTGACCAACATGCGATTACGGACGTATATGACTTCTAATTGCGAATGACGCGCCTTATTTATTCTCGTTTTCTTTTTATTAATATGCATGTCTGAGCATCACTCTCTCGTGCGGGCAGGAGCGGTTGCTGAGAATTCTCGATAGAGGACAAGAGCATTTGTTTCTAAAACTATGTTCAGAATGAAGGAATCGAAAATGCTAGAGCATCTTCAGAAAGCAAAATCTCGGGCTTCCCGTGGACACAGAAACTGTCGCCGGTGAATTTGTTGAATCAGCTTAGATACCATGCCAGCAGCTCCTTTCTTTACTTCCCGACAAGAAGCAAGTCATCATAGCGGCGTAATACTCGCAGTTGAAATTATGTTTAATCATAGTGCAATGCGCCAGTGTTCTTGCAGACGGAAGATCGATTCGTAAGGTTTTTAATAACGACTTCGCCTGTAGTTTAACATTTTTACATTAGAATTAGAAGATTTATGTAATAAAAAATATATAATTTAATTTAAAAAAATAGCTACCATAAAAAAATATGGCTTCATTTGCAAATGAATCAATATCATAACCATGTAATCCCCTCAAAACAAAACAAATTTTACTTACAATTTTTTTGAACAATGATTAATTCAGAAAATTATGTAGAAATACATCTAAATATAGTAATACATCTACTAAAGAATTCTTTTCTCTTTGCTTTTGAGATTTAAAACTATACTATTATTATTTCTTTCCTCTATATAAATGCATATAGAAATTAAGTGTGCTCGCTCATGGCTCAAAGTTGTAAAAATGAATGAAGCTTTTTGGAAGTTAAATTAAATTCTTATTGTTTAAGCACAGTATAAGTATATGCACCTCGCGACGAAATAAGGTCGCGTAGATCATATTCGCGCAGGTCATATTTTTAGTGCCTTGAATGAAATTAAACACAACATAAACGTGCAGTACATGAACATATGCTGTACAGACGTATTTATATGCTTGTTACTTTTTACTGAATTTTTTGAGCAATTTTTTTTTAGTTCTGTATGTTAGAAAAAGAAAAAGAGAAAAAATGAACAGTATCAAAAGTTCAATTAAAAAGAACCTATAAATAGTCATAAAATATTATTTTTAATATGTGCATAAGAAAATATTTATTATAATTATTTCTACTTTTTCACTTATTACATGGAAGAGTGGTCACGAAACATGAAATACAGATATCAAAAGTAACACGAAGTGCTCTATTGATTATATTGTGATTTAAAGCTAGTTTATTAGAATCATCTTGAATTATGACGTCAAAATTAGGACATAAGAAAAGACAATAAAAATTCTGGCAAAATACATTAAAATAGAAACTTTTTCTAATAAAATAACGTCTGCATATCTTCGATAAAGCAGATTTTTAAAATATACTGAAAATTCTGCTTTTATTGTAGTAGTCAATAAATAATCACATATCTAGAAAATGAATTGTGCCTCAAGAAAAGAGCCAATTCGAAGAATTCGAAGAAAAACTTTTACGATATATTTTACAAATCTGTTTTATTTAGTGCAAACATTATTTTATTAAAAAGCAATTTTATTTTAATATTAATTCATTATTATAAATTTTAATATTATAAATTATTTTGCAAAAACTTTCATCATTTCTCGCCTCTGATATCATAATTTTAGAATAGCTGCAATGAATTAGTAGGAGCTTAAAAATCTATACAAAAATATGATCTTCCAAAATTTTAAAAAAATTTATTTTATGTACAATATATAGTGTTATTATATTTCTTATATGTAAATAGTTTAATTGAGGTGACTTATGTGTAATTTTTTACTTATGTATTGATACATTCGTATGAATAACCACACGTGAATATTACTATTAGGAATAAAAATTGAGAATGATATGCTTTTTAATAATAATCTTGTAACGGAGCGCATCCCTCCGCTCCATTCCTCCTCCGAATTTCCCCCGACCGACCATCCGTCGAGGACCGCCGAACACCAGGCGGAGTGCGGCAGTGGCCGCAAAGAGGCAGCAATGCCTCCTTTTTAATATATACATACGCGAACTCCGAAGCGTCGGAGAATACCACGAAAACATGTATGTTTTCGTGGTATTTCTCCGCACCGCGCCAAGCGTCGCGCCAACAAGCGCGAACGCACTCCGCACCGCGCCCGGGGGCTCGAACCATGCTTGATGCAATCTCTCCTGTCGTGCTCCAGGAGGATTATTTGTATATTTGCCA